AGCAAAGCCAAAACCCCAACATACGATCACTTCAAAAAGGTAACGTACATGGCATGTGCCATCAAGGATAAAAGTCAAGCTTTTCTGCAGTCAATGAGCCACAGATTATCTATTCAGCATGAAAAAAAAAAAGGAAGGATGAAATTATTTACCTGGAAGGATTCCAACAAATTGACCATATTGGAGAGGAGGAACCCCCTGGACGTTCTATTTTCACTTTCTCATCACCATTTTTGTTCCTTATGCTGACAATGCCGTTGAACATCCCCAAAGCAAGGTACTGGCCATCATTTGTCCAGCTGAGAAAACACACACATATTGAAGAGTAAACTACCACAAACAAGCAGCAGGAAGGTAGGATGGTACAGCACACTCACACAGGGATGGTACATTCAAATATATTTCTAAGAGGGAGTTCTGAGAGGTAGCCAGTAAATCTACAGTTTGTTTATGCATCTAAATCCACATTTATGGCAACAGCGTGCACTGCATTGAGAACATTTTATCATGTACACAGAAATAAAAAAATAAATTAAAGCTATCATCTGCTTGCAACACTTGTAACATGTGCTAAGTCACAGATCCATTTTGGGGATGGCAGTGTTGGCAGCACACCAGAATGCTTTAAAAACCACATTTAGAACATGATCAGATAGAACTGCCTGGTGTGGGACAGAGGGGGCCTGGGGTCTAACCTGTTCTCTGTTGGACAGAGTACTGGATAGATGGATAACTTCAATTAATGAACCCTTGCTTCAGGTTGCCCCCAACAGTAGTACTTCCTTCAACTGAAAACACCAACAGCACAAAGCATGAACAACTTTACAAACAAAAACTGCAATTATTTTTCCTCTAATTTAATTCTATTGTTATTGTACAAGACGGAAAAACAGAGGGACAGAGAAACTAAGACACTTGCTCGAGACCAGAACACCTCTCTGATGCTTTCAGAAGAATTTGGTTATAAACAGAACAAAATAAAACCCAAAAATTTTGCTATTGAAAAAGAAGGGGGAAAAAACAGGTTTTTTTAAGCTTGCATCTTATTTGGAATGGTTTGTATTGAAACTAACTTAAATGACTTAAGGTAATCCTTAAAACTTACCTACAGCAGGTGATCCTGCAGCTTGTTTTATGTTTAGAGACTGACTTCTGTTCAGGAGACCACAAGCCTTGATGAAAACAAACAAGAAGCCAATGACAAATAAGCATGAGCCAGAGTTCAGACTGGAAACTAATACTGTCAGAGAACTTGGCTGGGACTCCAAAGGCATCAAAGTTTTGTTCACTGCTAGAAGGACACTTAAATATATATTATTTATCAGTAAATGGGAAAAAAATCCATCTAAATAACAGAGGGTGTCTTTGCAAAAAATTCCAGTAATAACAGAGCAGCAGGTTTCATCCTGTGGCCCCTCACTACACTGTCCTTTCCCACTGAGATTAAGTGATTTAAATCAGTATCCAACATCACTGAGCCTTAGATAGCTTTGTGTCACATCTCTTCTGCAGACACAGAGCTGTACCTATCTGTGGCTAGCTTAGCTATCAACTGTAATGGAATTCACTGGCTCAATGGAAAAGTTCAAGGGAAAAGACATACCAAAATCCCCAGACGAGCAGGATGCCAGCTGATGAGTGAGAGGATTGTATGAAACGCACTGGATAGAGTCATTATGCCTAGAATGAAGTTAAAATCAGATTTCAATAAATCATTCTTAAATGCCCCTTTTCTGACTTTCAGCAAGAGAGCTGAAAGCTTTACCAGATGCCAAAATAACTGGATTGGTTTGTAGTACATCAAGTTAATCTGCTATTACTGTAAAGTAAATCCGTAATAAACCTTACAAAAACTGTCTCTAAGTGGCAGGATACAGTGTATTTCATCAAGATTAGCTAAAACTGCAGAGCAAGAGTGGTTTGTGAAATATGACTAAATGTTGTATCCAAATTCTAAACCAAGTGTGCTCATGCAGGCTCCAGGCAGTGACCAGCTCGTGCAAACCAATTCGGGATAAATGTGCAGCCCAAAGCAGAACGTGAGCTGTCACTTCAGAGGGCTGATATAAACACAGAGCCTGGAGATTGAATATACCAAAAGTACCAAATCCATCTTTAATTTGATCTTTGAACCAGAATTATGGTATATTATACAAGAACGGTCACATTGTGTTTCATTTTATTCTGACCTATTCTGAGTTTCCCCAGTTCTCTATCAGCCCTCTGAACTCAGAGATTTATTTCGACTCTCCACCCACTTTTATCCCCTTAATTGCTTTCCTGCCTCATTCAGATACTTCAACTGTTCTTTTCCTCCTCCCTCCCCTACCACCCTTGGCATTTCCTCTGACCTTCATGAACTTTCTCCCAAGTCTAACAGCTCGAGCTCTTTGAGAGCAGCAGTGCATAATCAAAATTGGCTTTTGAAGCACAGAACTGAATGGCATCACTTACGTGTACTTCAGAATTCCTTCTAACTTTGAAGTCCAAATTATCACACTTTTATCAGCAGAGCCAGATGCGAAACGCTTGCCTAGGAATTGGAGATCATTTAAATCCCACACGTACAAAAATCACTTTCACTCCCGATACTCAATCAAAGAGAGAGCAAGAAGTTCTTGAACTTGACAAGGCTCAAGTAATAAAGGGGCTGACACTGAGTGCCTGGATGTGTCATGTGGAACTCCAGTGGCTGTACTGCACCGTTCCCACAGCCCTGGGAGCAACCCGGCCTTGCAGTGCTGCCAGCCCAAGGTGCAGATTCATGGCAACAGTGACAAGGAAAATGGGTACATTGTCACAGGAACACCCATCACTCAGACAGCAGCAGCTGCAGGAAGCCCCCTGAGCCCATAGAGTCCCACAGAATGAGAGTCAGAGACCATGACAGAACTGGAAGCAGAGGGGGGTCTGCAGTGAGCAGGTAACGTGTGAAGGATCAGATCAGAAAGCTCCAGGATAGAACAACTATGGGGAAAAAGGGTGAGTAGCAGAAAGAGGGATCTCTGGGGCAAACCTTCTCCTCACATTACACACGAATATACACTTAACCAGTACTAAACTTAAACTGAAGTCGAAGGAGCAGTGGGATCCCAGCTCTTGGACTCCCAAGTGACCTTACAGGCAGCACCTTGTATAGCAGACCAAACCCTCCACTGAGGAACAAATCCCAGCACTTGCTAAAGAATGAACCCCAGCACTCCCATGCTGTGACCGTTTTCAATGGGCAGTAACAAACAGGAGAGATGCACTTCACAAACCAGACTAACAAAGCCCCAAAGTGATATTTACCATCTTTGGCATAAGCCACACAGTACACAGTGTCCTTATGTCCTTTCAAAGGCTGAATTAGGGTTCCATCAGAAGTATCATACACCTGTTTAAATGGGGAGAAAAAAACCAAACCAAACATACAAACAGAAGAACTTATACGAAAAATCTTCCAGTGAATCACAGAACCACAAACTGGTTTGGAGGGGAAGGGACCTTGAAGCTCATCCTGTTCCACCCCCATGTCATGGGCAGGGTCACCTTCCACTAGATCATGTTACTCCCAGCCCTGTCCAACCTGGCCTTGAACGCTTCTAGGGTAAGGACTGTGAATTTAAAATTACTGAGGGACAACAAATTATGCACTTCCTTTTGTGCCTGCTTTTTGCATAGCACACAGTTCATGCAAGACAAAATGTTGTCAAGCATAGAAGCAGCTTTCTATAACATGATACTTCTTGGGAGGAAAGAAGAATCAGTACTAGAAAATTACACACAAAAAAGAGATTTCCCACCAGCTCATTTGGCAGCTTGTTTTATGTCTTACTGTTTTTTTATCTTTTATTTTCATCCTTTACATCTTGTTGTTAAACATCTTCTCCACATTAGATGTTTAAAGGTAATAAATTACTGCAAAGGAGCATCACTAAATGCACCATTCTGTGAGCACTGAAAATAACTCCTGCTGTCCTGCAGTGCTGAACTCTACAATCACCCCTCCCTGCAGCTCCTACACCTGCCCCACCTGAAAGCTTTGCAGGACCTGGGAGCAGCAGCTCCAGGGTCCCACAAACAGCTCGAGCTGAAGGTTCCCACAACACTGGGACATGGATTTGAGTCTCTTCCCTTCCCACAGAGATTTTAGTGAAACTTGTACCAGCACAGCCCCTGCACTCCGTGCTCTGTGCCAGGCCTGGGGGCAGGTTCATGGATTTCAAACCTCGGGCGAGGCACGAGAGGATGAGATGATGCAAATAACTTAAATCTTATTACTTTTGGAAATAGAGCTTAAAATTTGGTAAGAAATATTAAAAAGCTTCAAATCACTTTAGAGTCGGCCTGCATTAATATGTATGTGGCTGTGAGGCTGGGCTGGCAGAGATAAGGGGATTTCGGATAGGTTATATTCATAAGTTAACGTGGAAGAAATCACGTTCATACAGCTGTAGAGGAGAGAGGACAGGAAGGTTTCCCTACCAGCAGCCTGTTTCCAGCAGCAACTATAAGCTGGGTCCCATCCGGCTTGAACGCGAGGTCGTAAATACTGAGGGGAAACAAACCAACCAAAAACCCCGTCTTAGGAGGCAGAAAACACACTCCGTGAGCGTCAGAGGTGCCACACAGCCGAGACTGGTAAAGGCACGGTGAGGGTGGGTCTGACTCCCGAATGAACCTCCGGGACCGCCCCCGCGCTGCCGCCCCGCAAACCGGGTGTCCCCGGGGCCGCTCACCACTGCTCGGCCCTGTCGCGCCAGGTGAGCGCGGCCCGCATGGCCGGGCCCGCACCGCGCTCAGGGCCCGGGCCCGCAGCGCCCTCACGGCCCCGCAGCCCGGGCTCGCAGCGCGCCGGGCGCCACGGGCAACGCGTCTGCGCGCGGGGGCCGCCAGCGCGACAGGGGGCGCTGCCGGGGGGCGCGCGCGCCGGCCAAGCCGCGGGACGTCACGTGACCGAAGGGCCGAGGGGTGTCACGTGACCGGGCCACGGAGCGTCACGTGACCGGGGCGCGGGAAATGGTGGCGGCGGGAGCGGCGGGCGGGTAACGGCGGGACGGGTCGGGAGCGGGGACGGGGCGAGGGCGAGCTGGCTCCCGGGACTGTGTGGGGCTCTGGGTTCGGGCCCAGGCTTGCTCCGCCGCCCCCGGGCCCCCCCCGGAGCAGGACCTCATCCGGGCTCTCCTTCCCCTGCAGGCCCCGCGGCCCGGCGGAGCCCAGCGCCGTTCCCCGCGGGTGGCAGCGGGTGAGCAGCCGCAGGCGGACGGGCAGGACGGCCGGGAGGATCGACGTGTGCTTTGTCAGGTGAGGCCGGGGGGCGTAGCTCTGTGTGGCCTTTCTTGGCCGAGCCACACAAATGCGCCCCAACAACTGTTTCTGTCCTTATTTGGGTTTTTTTTTTAATGTACTATGAGTTTTTCAGCAAAAAGCAAGAGAATGAACAAGTCACTAATTTACTTTCCTTTCCTACCGCAGCCCTGAAGGGAAGAAGCTGAGGTCGAAACGAGCACTTTTGGAGTATTTTCAGAAAACTGGGGAGACAACACTGAAAGCAGCAGATTTTGATTTCACAGCTCCTCGGGGAAGCACACGCTCGGGGGTGAGGGGATGCAGCACAAGAGCTGCGAGGACTGACCTGGAGAAGGACGATTGTCATAGCCAAGTGCAGGAGCTCTGTGCACAGAATGGGTCCAGGGTTGGAACTGAGAACATCCACACTGGGAATGGACACCTGGAAGATGTTACATCCGCTTTGGAAAGCACAGATTTGGTCATGGATAGCACAGACCCAGAGAAGGGTTTGAAAACAAAAAGGAAGGGGGCAGGTGGGAAAAGTGTCCAGAGTAGAAAACCTGCAAAGAGCTCAGAAAGGAGGAACCAAGGCAACCCCCAGAGCAAGAGGCAGAGAAGAGTCTGTAGCACACGGCAGATCGAGTGTGTTCAGAACAAGAGGTTCTGTAGACAGACAGACAGGAGTGGGGCTGACAGTCAGGGTGTGGGTGATCCGAGTGCTGAGGAGAAATCCCACGGACTGGAGACAGGGAAAGAGCCAGATGGGGAGCCTGTGGGTAAGCAGGATGTTAAATCCAACACCGAGGCGGATGCTGAGCCGTGGGACAGGACAAGCTGCACAACTGTCAGAGGGGCACCAGGTACATGTGTGTGTGAGCAGAATGTGACCCCAGCCCTCACCTTCTGCCAGCGTGTCCTGACTGTTTGAGCCAGGTGTTCTGTTTTGGGTTGACCTCCTCTAACATTGAAAACTGTCTCATTTCTTTATCCAACAGCATTTAACTTAATGCAGATCTAGTCACACCTGGGACTTTCTGTTCCAAACTCTTGAGCTCTACAGTGTGAGACCTGCAGGGGATCTAGGGCATGTGTGTGTTCTGTGCATGACAAAAACTTCTTCTGTTTCCATCACAGCATAAAGTGGTGTGTGAAACATGACAGCAAAATACTTGGTTCTTCTTCCTAATGCTGAGGTTTTATTTCTTTACAGAAGAGTCTGTCCCACGAACACAAGTGGAGAGAAGGAAGACAAGTCCATATTTTTCCAGTAAATACAGCAAAGAAGGTATTGTATTCTTTAGGGAAATGTATTTTTTTATGGGGGAGGGATAGGATGGCTCAGGGTCAAGTGATGTTTTGGCAAATGCCTTGCAGTTTGAGGCTGGCAGCCTTGGCTCTGGCTGCAGCTGTGCCTGAGGGGACACAGTCCCCTGCAGCCTTGGAAAGGCTGTGTGGGAACTGCCATGGCTCCATCCACACACAGTGGCCCCACAAAGATCAATCTGCTCCGAAGATCTTAATTTTTCTTTTTTAACTAAATAGGTAAATCCATCCTTTCCTGACCAATAAATATTTCTGTGTTGCCTCTGTACAGCCCCCAACCCACCCAGAAGGAAAGCCCTCAGAAAATGGACCCCTCCACGTTCTCCTTTCAATCTGGTCCAAGAAACGCTCTTCCATGATCCATGGAAGCTTCTCATTGCCACCATATTTCTCAATAAAACTTCAGGTAAGTGGAGTAGCAGGAGCTGGTGTTGTGTGAATGTTGGGAGGTGTTGCAGGGATAAAACTGATGCCAGTTCTAATGTCATTAATGAAAGAATAGTTGTATATTAACTCACATCAGTGTGAAACAATCTTTAGTTGGTAACCCTTGCCTTGGAAAAGCTCACTTAAGAAAGCACTTGGATAATGCAGAAGGAGAATTCCTGGCCCAGCCTTCTGCTCACAGGCTTCTTTCACCAGGAAAAATGGCAATTCCAGTGCTCTGGGAGTTCCTGAAGAAGTACCCTTCTCCTGAGGTAGCCAGGGCTGCAGACTGGAAAGAGATGTCGGAGCTGCTCAAACCTCTCGGCCTCTACGAACTCAGAGCCAAAACCATCATCAGGTTCTCGGGTGGGTTTTCCTGATACCTGGAATGGTCTCTGTTACGCTGGCAAAAGGCAAACGGGTTCAATCCAAGTGCTGCTCTGTGGCCTCTCCTCTGTTTGGCAGTTTGGTGACCTAGTGGGTTATTTTGTGCATCATTTGGGCTCTGTTAGTGTCACACAGGCTGAGCTGCTGATCCCAGTCTGAACGGGGAGGGAAGTGCCAGCCAGGGGGAGTTGTGCAGGAGACCAGGAGATTTCCTGGAGTAGAGGAGACCCAACACCCGCAGCACTGCTGCTGTGTTTGCAGCACGGGGATAGGATGGCTCTGCTCAGGGTTGCTCTGGTGTCCTGCAGAAGGCCCTTCCAGTGGAATTTCTCTGTGATTCTAATATTTTCTAAACTCAGAACCTGCAGAGGAATACTTTGTTCTGAGGAGAGAGAGGTGACGGAAACTCTCCTATGGTGAATTGTTGAAAAAGTGCTTAAGATGTACCTGTGGGGATTCATGGCCTGCATTCACCAGGAAACACCTAAAACTTGGCGTTTTCATTTGAAATGTCCCAAAGTGGAGCCGTGTTCCACTGGCACAGAAGGAGAGGTGCTCCCTGTGCCTGGTGCAGGTGAGGGGGTGCCCGAGGGCTGTGCCCTGCCTTGCAGGTGAGTACCTGAGCAAGCGGTGGCGGTACCCGATCGAGCTGCACGGCATCGGCAAGTACGGCAACGACTCCTACAGGATCTTCTGCGTCAACGAGTGGAAGGAGGTGGGTGCTGCAGCCAGGGCAGGGCCGGGCTCGTGTCCACCGACCCCTGGGAACAGGAAACCAACACTCACGGTGTTGCAGTGATGAGGTGTTTTGAAAGGAGGTGTTTTAGAACTTCCCCTGTGTTCCAGGTGCAGCCACAGGACCACAAGTTGAACGTGTACCACGCGTGGCTGTGGGAGAACCGGGAGAGGCTGAGCCTGGACTGAGCCTAGCCGAGCTGGGAGTGTCCCGGCCCCTCCACCTTTCCTCGAGTGTCCTCACGTTCTTGGTGTAGATATTTGTGTGATGTCCTGGCTCAGGTCATCGCTGTGATGACAAGTGTTTGATCTCTATTTTTTTAATAAAGGTGTCCCTGGTTGTAGTGCCTGTCCCTTCCTGCAGTGCAGATCTGTGTCCTATGCGTGCAGCCGCGTCCCCGTGCCCGCCATCGCCGCCCCCGGAGCCGGCTCCGATCTCGGGCTGCTGGGTACGAGCAGAGGGCTCGAGGGGAAGCAGGACCGGGGACAGGAGACGCTGCTCCGCGGACCGGCCCCGGCGCTTCCCCAGGTGCTGCCTGGGGCCAGCTCCGCGACGGGCCCGGGGGGCACCGACCCCCGCTCCGGCCGGGACAGATACAGCCCCTCGGGGCCGTCACAGCCCCCGCCCTCGCTGCTCCCTGTGCCCGGGCAGCAGCAGAACCAGGGCATCGAACCCCGGGGCTGGGCCGCTTGCTTTGGGTGTGTTGAGCCGGCGACAGCAGCGCTCCAGCCTCTGTGGCGGCGGTGAGAGAGGGCCCGGAGCGGAGCTGCCGCCGGACCGGGACCGCGATCGGGACCGGGGACCGCCGCACCGCCAGGGGGCGCCTCTCCGGCTCGACTGGCGGAAGCAGGGCCCGGGCGCTGCCTGATGGAAGTGACGTCAGCAGGTCCTGGCAGCCTCGTACCGAGAACGTCGTTCGGGCCACAGGCGGGAAGCACCGATCTGCTCTTTTGGGGCGTCCCCTCCGGACAGAGCCTGCCCGGTTCCAACTCTCCGTGGCGATCCAGGCCCCGCCGGTGCCCGCTCCGCGCGGTCTTGGCGCCTCACGCAGCTGCCAGGACCTCCCGCGTATCCCATAAGCCGCTGCGCGTGGGGCTCCTCCCTCTCTCGGCGGGGCCCGCGGCGGACGCGCCATCGGCACCGGTGAGTGCGGGTCGGGCATCCGCGGCCATCCGGGGCCGGTCGGGACCATCCGAGGCCAGCCGCGCCCAGCCGGGACCCAGCCGGCCCGGGGCTTACGGCACGGACCGGCCGCCCCCTCCCCTTCCCTCCGCTTCACCTTTCCCCGGGGCGCGGGAACCGGTCCCCGCAGGGCCGGGACTGTGCCTGCCTGAGGCCTGACCCGAGGCCCTGCCCGGGCGGCGGGGCGCCCTCGGCGCTCGGTCACGGGCCCGGCCGAGCCTTCGGACCGGGCCCGGCGCGTTCGGCGCCAGCGGGTGTCGGTCGCTGTTCTCCACGAGCAGCCCTCGCCCGTCCGGCTTCGGTGCGCGGCGCCGGGCTCCAGGCAGGGCCATCGGGGGGGACGATGACACCGCGACACCTCCCAGGATCGCATCTGGAGAGCTCCCAGTGCTCTGCCAGCTTCGGAGGCGGGAGGCAGAGCCACAGCAGATGAAGACCCATTCCCTCGCCGGCCCGGCGTGGCCCGCGAGGGAAGACAGTCTGCGACACGCGCTGCACGGGGGGCCGCGCCGCGCCCGGCCGCGCCCCCCGCTCACCCCGCTCTGTGTCCCGCAGCCACCATGCCTGCCCTCAGGCCTCTCGTGAAACCCAAGATCGTCAAGAAGAGGACCAAGAAGTTCATCCGGCACCAGTCCGACCGCTATGTCAAGATCAAGGTGAGCAGTCGGTGCCGGTCCCCGAGAACTCCGGGGGTGCCTTTGGGAAGGCGGTGAAGGGAAGCGCAGCAGGGCGGCAGCAGCCGGGGCAGTAAGGGCCTGTGGGGCCACTCTTGGCTGGAACCAGTGCCTCAGGGCAGGCAAGGGTGTTAGCCCTCGGGCAGGGGTGTCCAGGCTGAGCTCGTTGTGTAACTCATCTGTGCGTTTCTGCAGCGCAACTGGCGCAAACCGAGGGGCATCGACAACAGAGTGCGCCGGCGCTTCAAGGGGCAGATCCTGATGCCCAACATTGGCTACGGCAGCAATAAGAAGACGAAGCACATGCTGCCCACAGGCTTCAGAAAGTTCCTGGTCCACAATGTCAAAGAGCTGGAAGTGCTGATGATGAGTAACAAGTGAGTGTGTGGGGCCTGTGTGCTCCCACCTGGGAGAGGCAGAGCAGTCGGGGTGACACAAGGGAGGTTGTTGCTTTCAAGAGCACAGATGCCATCGTGGTTTCCTCAGTTCTGCTGGTGTGGGTGCACAGAGGGGCCTTAGGGCTGGAAAACTCATACCCCTGGTAAAAATAGACATAGCAATGGTGAACAGGGCTGTGATATGTCACTGGTGACTATGGCCAGAACTGGGGCTCCGGGTCAGACCTGGGACTGAGTCTGCTTCTGTTGTTGCTTTCACTACAAAGCAATAAGAGCAGTAACCAACACCATTAACAGCTGTCTGGGACTCAGTCATTCGCAAGAAGGGCTGAGCTGTTCTGTGGCGGAGCTTCTGCTTCAGGCCAGGCAGGTCAGGTTCGGTGAAGGGGTGGAAGTTGGGTGGTTCAGTTCCCGTGCATCGATGCCCCTGTGCTTGGCTGCATCCGAGCAGTGCCAGCGGGATGTCTCTGGGGGGCTTTGCTGTGGTGGGACAGAACCAGAGGGCTTTGCCTTGGCTCTCAGCTCTGCTGGAGCTGAACCTGACATGCCATCTGTCTCCAACAGGTCGTACTGTGCAGAGATAGCCCACAATGTGTCCTCCAAGAACAGGAAGGTGATCGTGGAGAGAGCAGCACAGCTTGCCATCAAGATCACCAACCCCAACGCCAGACTGCGCAGCGAGGAGAACGAGTAACCAGGCTCTGCAGCCCAGGTGTATTTAATAAAATGTCAGTCCAACTCGGGTGCTGTTTTGCGTGGGCAGAGCAGGGGCAGCAGCCCCGGCCTGGCTGTCTCGGGGCACTCGCACAGCGAGGTGCAGTGTCAGGGTGATGGTCAGTGAACTCAGGGCGTGCAGCTTCACAAGTGTATTTTATTTTTATACCATTCAGACAACAGCTGTCCTTTCACACAGCACTGTAAATACTTTTCACATCAACCACCCTGTCAGAAGAGGAGAAAAGGAAGCGTAGGGCAGGTCCATGGCCACAGCCCCAGTGTGTCATGGTGGCCTTGTCCTCTAGTTGGCTGTTAACATTCTCTGTCCCTTAAGGCATTTTCTCCTGCACAAAGCAGGATTTGAGCACAGGAGCCACTATGGATTGTGTGTTTGCACCTCTGGCTCCTGCCTGCCACCTCTCACCCCTCTGACATTAACACAGACCACCAGTGCTCCTGCAGGTGCCTCCTGCTGATCTGTGACCAGGATCAGTAGGTTGGTGCCCTCATGATGGTGACAACACTGAGGTGCTCCAAGGGGAGAGAGAATCCAGCGTTGGTGCAAAGCAGAGCTTAGAGCAGGGTTTGTCACTGAGATAGTCACTAATCGTCCCTTGGAGGAGACACTTGAGGTATTTTGCAGTCAAAACTGTAAAAACAAGCCAAGCTAGAAAGCTTTGTATTGCCCAAATGCCAAACTGTGGAGCCCCAGGAGGAAGCCTGGGGGGCTGGGTAACCCCCCTGCCCCATGCAGCTCCTGCAGCTTGGCTGGTGCAAGTCTCCTTTCCCAAAAGGCCTGTGGGAGTGCTGCTCATCACTACAGACATGACTTCAGTTTTTAGTCATGTTATTTAGGGAAACACTGTAAATACATTCTTGGGCAATTTGGGGTAGAAAGTGCATGTGCAGTCATTAAAAAACCATTTAAAGCTATGTTTTTCTGTACTGCAGTTAGGAATATATCAGGAAGTAGTTTCCATTGTTCATGGAACCACACTCAATTGCAGTTGCTTTGTGTACCCCTTAAAACTTGCTGCGAAGTGGGACTGCTCATCTTTCAGCCCCTCCCCTACAGGAGGATGTGTTCCCCTGATCCATGAGGTGTCTGATGCAAGTGCTGCTGGTTCCAGGCAGTTTCTCCTGTGGCTGCCCAGGGACTTGCACATGGCTGTGGCAGGAGAGTGGCTCAATGGCCTTCGTTCCCCCCGGCCCAGCTGGTGTCTCTGGCTGGGGCATTGCAAGGGCAGGAGGGCAATGGGGGAAACACGTCTTAGCTCATGTCCATTGACTCTGAGATGGAGAGGGAAGCAGAATCTTTCTGAATGCTCTCAAACAGTGACGCCATTTCAGGACTGGATCTGATCTGGGATGAAAACTCTGCCATCGCTGGACTTTTCTCCACCTCGGGGATGGTCAGGAGAGCAGCCACTGCCCTCATGGCTGAGCGCTTCAGCTCATCCTGCTTCTCAAACTCCTGCTTCACTGAACCTGCTTTCACCTGCAAATCCAAAGCCCTGTTTGCAGTCGGCACTTAGAAAAGCTGGTTCAGGCACAGAACCAACATGGCAGCAGAGACCAGCAGAGTATTTTACAGCTGGGCAAATGAGGGGAGTGGGTGGCTCAGCAGCAGTGAGGGAGAAGGCCGGGAGCAGAGGTGGCTTTGGGCAGGACCTGCCCCAGCCCCTCGCACGTTCCAGCTCTTACCTTGGTGGAGCAGGTTGCCCGGAGGGGCTCGATCAGCCGCTCGAGCCGCTGCAGGACGGCGCTGGGGCAGAGTGCGGAGAGCCGCGCCAGCATGATGAACGTCAGCATCTGGGCAGGACGGGAGGGAACGGGTTGGTTCACTGCAGCCCCTGGGCTCAGAGCTGGGCTCTGTCCTGTGCTCCTCTGCACTTGTGCCAGGGGCTTGGGGCAGAGCTTTGGTGATACTGGAAATGCAGCCCTGGCAGCCAGCAGGCTGGAGCTGCAGCAGGGCCTGGTGTGTGCAGTGCTACAGTGTTCACAGGGCCATGGGAACAAACAGCACTGCTCAGCATGGGGCTGTGCCTGCCTCTGAGCTGGGGTAAAGCAAATCACATTGGAAAAGGATGGCGTGCTTCCTATCCAGATGTGAGGCCAGCAGCCATTATTACGCTGCTAGATTTTTTTTCGGTATAGTATCACTAGTCCCTCTGAACAAATGACAATCATCGGTTTAAAGGCAGAAGAAACTTTGGTACATTTCTTACAAAGCCAGCTATACCGGGGTGTCTTGTCAAGGCCACTACAGTCAAATCAGAGCCAGACAATCATGAAAGGCTGCAGCAGTTGCAGGGAATAGGAAATGGCATGGCAGGGGCACACTGCTGTGGGGGCACACAGCTCAATTGCAGGCCA